GGAGCCCAGCAGGTTGAGGCTGTGGTGGCCGGGAGCGGCCACTGCACTCCAGTCTAGGCGACAGAATGAGAGACTCCAACTCAAAAAGAAAAAAAAAAAAAGTAAAAGTTAGAATCCATAGACTTAGAATCTAAAAATAGAAAAAAATGAACACTTAAAAATTCCTCATTTGGACAGGTCCTGAGTTGAAATCACATTCATCTGCAAAAAAAGACCTGTTTTAGGTCAGAATGCTTTATTTTTTTTACTTTTTAAGTTAGAGTCTCACTCTGTTGCCCAGGCTGGAGTGCATGGCAGGCTCACGGCCACTGCTGCACTGACTGCTGGGCTCAGGTGATCCTTCTGCCTCAGCCTTCCAAGTAGCTGGAACTACAGGTGTGCTAACACGCCCAGCTTATTTTTTGATTTATTGTAGAGACAAGGTCTCACCAAGTTGCCCAAGACTGGTCTCGAATCCCTGAGCTCAGGTAATCCTCTTGCTTTGGCCTCTAAAAGTGCTGGGAATACAGGCTTGAGTCACCATGCCTGGTGAATTCTGTATTTTTTTTTTTTTTTTTTTGAGTTGGAGTCTCACTCTGTCGCCCAGACTGGAGTGCAGTGGCCGCTCCCGGCCACTGCAGCCTCGACCTGCTGGGCTCCGGCGATCCTTCTGCCTCAGCCTTCCAAGTAGCCGGAATTACAGGCACGCGTTACCACGCCCGGCTGATTTTTTGATTTATTATAGAGATGAGGTCTCGCTGCCCAGGTGTGTCTCGAACCCGCAGGCTCAGGCAATCCACTCACCTCAGCCTCCCAAAGGCGCAAGATTACAGACTGAGCCACTGAGCCTGGCAGGATTCAGTACTCTTATGTCTACCCTAAGACCCAGCAATTCCGCTCCTGGGAATATCCCCTGGAGAAATGAGTGCTAAGCACATCCCAAAACACTCACAGCAGCCCTATAGGTAACAACCCCATCAGGAAACAACACAGAAATCCACCCACGGGAGAAGGGACAGGCCAACTGTGGGACTCCACCCACAGCGTAGAGTACCATTCAGCAAAAAAGAAGAATGGATATCGATACCTACAACAGGATGGCTTTCCTGGACATGACATTGACTCAAGAAACCAAGCACAGAGGATCATACATGGTGGGATTCTGTTCACATAAAGAGCAAAAGCTGGAGAGAGGCTCGGTGGCTCAGCCTGTAATCCC